AATTACAGTTTTCCCTTTCCCATACTCATTTATTTTTAATAATTTACATAATTTTCAATAGTTTTTCAAAATTTTTCCAAAAGTACAACATTATATCTTTTAATTTCCAAAATGTTATTTTACAAAAATGTAGTTTTATGAAAACTTTATCACATTTGTGTAATTATGGAGATTTATTGAAAATTATTTTAAATTTTTATTAAATATTTATTTTTATTAAGTATTTTACTAACAAAATTACACTAATTTATCTCTTATTTTTCAAAATGAATTAATTAATAATTTCATTTTCCTATATTATAATATTTTATTCCCCCATCTGCATTCAGTTATTAACTATAATAATAGCAATAACTAAAATTTTATACTTTTTGATAATTGTTAAGTATAATCCTCAATTTTATAGAAATTAGTTAAAGAGTTTTCAATTTCTGTAAAATGTTGTAAATTAACATGTATATAATAGTATTTACCAAAATACTTTTAAAAAGTCATGATGAGTTAATTAATAACAATATTTATTAATTTTTGGTAATTTACTAACCATACTAATAAGAATATTTAATTTTTGCTAATTTACTCATCGTATTTATGAACTTTTTGTAATAACACTATTTAATACTCATTGAATATGGGTTGGATTAAATATTAACATTATTTAATATGAACATTTTAAATGAGAAAGAGTGCATAAAGATTAGGGGGAGAGATTTTAGGAATTTATTGGGGAGTGGGGTAAACGTGGACTATCTTGCTATATATATATATATATACAAAAGTTGAAAAGTAATTAAATTTATAATTATTTTGTATATTAAATCTAAATCAAATCCGAATCCATTAAGATTTGAATTCTAATCCGAGGTCAACAAAATCTGATCCATTTACAACCCTACTAATAATTTAGTTTTGGAGGCTTTTTGGTTAATCCTTTTTTTGGAGGGGGATCCTTACATATACTTTTTCATATTTTACTACTTTTTTGAAGCTTGACAAGGCACATATTTTATTACCTTTTTTATATGCATGCACATATTTTATGTTGGGGTCTCACAACCACCACCCACAAAATAAAACCACAAAGTGTTTTGAAATAACAACCAAGAAAATACAACAGTAACAAAAATAACGAAATCCAAGCAAAGACATAAAAATAAGCACCACCAAGAACACGAAGGATTTACGTGGTTCCGCCTTACCGCCTATGTCCATGGGAAAGATGAAAATTGTTCTTCATTATTAAAGAAATTGAGAAATAGTACAAGTACCTTGTGGTTTGCAATCCAAACCAACCCTTAACCTTTGTACACCCGCTTTACCTTTTTCTCTCACAACCCAAAGAACAAAAACAAGAGAAAAACTTCACTCTTACACCAAGAGCACTCTCTCTCTCTGCCTCTCACTCTCTCAAAAACTAACCATGCATACAAATGAGACTTTTTGCATGTAAAACCCTCTTTAACCTAAAGAGGGACCACACCAACCGTTCAATTAAAAATAATCCAGCGGTTGAAAAATAAAACATAACCCCAATAATCTCCACCTTGACTTATTTTTCAACCACCTTGGATATTTACCATTTATGCCTCCACCTGTTCACAAACACTACAAATCTCCATTAGCCTTATAAAACAAACACCACTAGTTACACATAACTTGAATCACTTGGTCCTGACTCCACCTGATTTAAACCAAATGGTCAATGTACTTGTGTAACTGCACCTACGCTAACAGTCCTACTTAACTCCAGATAGGGACCTCGATCCTTCCTCTCTCCCAACAGAAATATTACTCTCACTATCATATGTACGTAGGAAACTTGTAGCACTTGTCTCCACCTTATCTGGAAAGAAACTCTCTATGTGGCCACACTACCTTGCACACTCTATTTCCAACATCCTATTAAGGCCATGGAAACCATTATACTCCCAACCAGATGATGTAACCCTTGCACTTTTCTCCCTTCATCAAGACCATACCGCCACGTGTGATTTTCATGACTCCACCTATAGCAAAGACCTTTCAACCATCAGAATCCAATCAACTTAGTGATATTAGATTCCTATACAATTTTGGAACATATGCCACATCACTCAAAGTGTGAACCGCTCTATCAAACATGTTATTTTCATTGTCCGAACAATCGTGATGCCACACGTAGATCCACCACCCAATGAGAACGTACCAAAATATTATTTCCTGTAGCAAATATACATAGAAGACCTAGAATCTAAAACCCACTCATTTGGAGAAAAATTGCATGTACCTTCAGAGACTGTGAGAACATCTCCATCATCATTCGATGCAATATCCATGCTTCCAGATTCATTCCCACCCTTTTTTCATGCAGGACAATCTCTCTTCATATAACCAAATTCCTTGCATTTGTAACGTTGTACTTTGCCCTTTTCTCTGGCCTTGGATTTAGACCTGCTGCTCTCAAATCTCCTATCAGATGACCTTCCTTTCTGATCTAAGAAGCAAAAGGCCCTTGTCTTCTTTCTCCACATTGACATCAACATTCCCTAGTTGATCCAAGATACTATTGAACACATTCAGGTGTTCCGGAAGATTCCCACCTTCTCCCATATTCAGCCCGTACAAATGTCGCTTCATGTATAACTTTGTAGTTAAGCTTTTTCCCAAATAAAGTTTCTCTAGCTTGTCCCACAACTCTGGTGCAGAATTTTCCTCCATGACATTAAACATAATGTTATCAGCCATGAACAATCATACTAACACACTTTGACTCGATGCCCTCCTAATTAGCACCTTCATGTCTTTTGGCTTACCATCCTTTCCCTTCAATGTTTTAGCCAAACCTTGTCAAACCAGGATGTCCTTTACCTTCTTAACCATAAGGTAAAAATGTCTTTGCCATCATATCTCTCAATCTGAAACTGAGAATTTGTGTCATTTGTTGCTAGCGTCTCTTTTGCAATTTCATAAATACTTTGTAAACACCAACCTTGGAGCTCCGATACCACTTTGTCGGGGCCTCACAACAATCACCCACAAAATAAATCAACAAAGTGTTTGAAATAACAACTAAGAAAATCCAACAGCAATAAAAATAACATAATCCAAGCAAAGACAAATAAAAATAAGCACCATTGAGAATACAAAGGATTTACGTAGTTCAGCCTTTCCGCCTACGTCCACAAGAGAGATGAAAATTGTTTTCACTATAAAAGAAACTAAGAAACAATACAAGTATCTTGTGGCTTGCAACCCAAACCAATCCTTAAAACTTATACACCCACTCTCCATTTTTCTCTTACAACCTAAAGAACAAAAACAATAGAAAAACTCCACTCTTACACCAAGAGTACTTTCTTTCTCTTTACCTCTCACTCTCTCAAAAACTAACCTTATATACAAAAGAAACATTTTATATGTAAAACCCTCTTTAGCCTAAAGAGGGACCACACCAACCGTTAGATTAAAAATAATCCAGCGGTTGAAAAATAAGACAGAACCCCAACATTATATTACTTAATCCTTGTAAAATCTCACTTATGACATACATTTATATTGTCTTGTTACTATAGCATATCCACAATACCAAATGGGAACATTTCTGTTTACAGTACAGAGATATACCAAAAAGAAGCTTCTAGCAAGGTTTTTAAAACCGAACCAGACAAGGAAACATTCTGGGGTTCGGTTCTTGGGTCAAACAGATAGGCCACTTTGAGAAAAATAAAAAAATAGAAAAACATAAATGGTCAAAAACCATTATCCGGGTCGACAGTTCAACCGCCTAGGTCAGTGGTTCGTCAACCAAATCAACAGTTTTTGGCCAAAAAACAGTTTTGGGGTGAAACGGAAACAGTCAAGCGACCAATTTTGAAAACACTAGCTTCTAGCAATGCTTAAAGGCTTGTATTTAGTAGACTTGGTTCCTTGTTTTCTCCAAGAACTCCTGTTGATGCTTATTTCTCCTCGGATGTGTACGGTTATCAGCAGAATGCATCTGACCATTGGCAAAAAAGTTGATTATAAATTCCAATGAGTTTTATCACACCAAAAAAAAAACTAGTTCGAAGAAGGGAGAATCCTCCAATTTCCTCAAGGGAAGAAAGTCATGTACAATTATAAAAATCGTCTCATTTGTTCTATGCTTTTTCTCTCGTGCATAAGGAATAGTTTTCTCTTGAAATTGATCAATACCGTATAGTTCATTTTATTCTGGAATGCATCTTTTTATTTTGGTTGCCATGTTTTATGCTGCAGGATATGATCTAAATAAATGGAAAGCCCTAATAGTTTTTCTTAGGAGGATGAAAGATGCAAACTAATTGAAGTGGTCATTTGCTAAATAGTCGAATTGGAACCATTGACCAGTGTTCAGAAACCTGGACCCGATTGACAATTCCAACAATTCGGGCCAAGCACTTGACCAGGTGAAAAATAAAATTGTGGAAGTTAAAAATTGGAAAAGCAAGGTAAAAGCTCATGATTCATAGTTAAAACCTATTTAATATCAATATAAAGCCAAAAAGAAACATTAGGTAATCATGCAACCCAAATTGCCAATCATTAATAATGATCAATTATTAAGGATTTGGCCCAAGTGAATATTTTGGAAATCTAGCTATTTCAAAATCCGGTTTTATTGTAAAAGCTAATTCGTTGCCTGGTCCGGTCTCGATCCTATAACAAAATTTGGAACTTGGAAGTTGGAACTACGAGCCTTGGAAACTATTAGGTGTTATTGTTATCTCAACCACACAAATTATTAGGTTTGGCAAACTTATCAAAAAATAATTTATTAATTAAAAATGAATAAATTAACAAAAAATAGTTTATTAAAATAAAGAACATTATTTATATTTACCTTAAAAAAAGAAATTCCCACTCCATAATCGCTTCTAGATTTTTTGTTCTTTTAATTTATTACACAATACGTAACACACAATGCTAAGATGGATAAGATTCCGCATTGTCCAACCTATGCATCGCTGCATTCAAGTGTAATAAATAAAACTAACAAAATGTAATAATAAAAATTAACACAAATTTATCTAATAACGTGTAACCCAAGATAATATGGGTTGAACTTGATAGTTGATACCACTCGGCCAAATTGACTATCAATAAAACACTTGCCACAATTCCTTTTAACAACCATGCATCAAAAGGGGCCTGACCAGTATATATAAATATAGATTTAGAGAACACTCTGTACTCACTACCGTTTGATTCATACGTAGTTCAAACTTCGAAGGCATAGATGCTCCTGGATGGTGTAGATATTGCACAGAAATCTGGACACCTGGACAATGGACTTTCAGCAATTCATTACACGTACAACAGAAAACCCGATGGCGTATCATAAACCAAAAAAGAGAACAAAAAATGAAGAACAAATCAGCATAGGGTTAGGGTTGAAAATCTCAGCCACTAGGCGTCGTACATTCTATGGATTTAAGTGACCAAGGCTCTTTTTAGGGATGACACCCAACGTTCCATTTTGTGGTTAATGCTACAGCCTACAAGACGCCATAATTTAGCTGATAAATGGTGTAAAAACAAACTAAAAAGAAAATGGCTACATATTTGTATTTGTGTATACAACACATTGTCACCGGCAGCCACGAACAAGTTACACGGAATTGTCTCGGGTTGTCAGCAGTAAACCACCCTTGCAATAAATTACATCTGGCCAGACCAAAACAATACTTACATCAGAGAATAACTAACCAAAGAAAGGAAAGGATAAAGCATCATATATTACCATTTCTTTCATTTCTGTATCCCATCGTAACAGTCAAGTCTCCACCACATGGCTTGTAGGTTTTGGGTCGTCTTTATCAGCATCGCCTTCACCATCTTCGTCATCCTCATTTTCTTCGGCCTCATCAGCTAGTTTGGTCAGTTCCTCCTGGATCATGACCTTTATAGCGGACTTTCTTGATGTGAGATCAGTATCAAATCTGCGAGCTGAAAGAAGGTTATTTATCAGCAGATTAGGTAATAGAAACTGGAGGAAAAAAAAAAACTTTTAGTTTTCTTAAGCATTCAAACAGATGCTATGAGGAATTTTTCTTAATTTGGAGAAATCCTCGCTTTAATACACAAGCAAATACAGAGACATGCACAGGAAGATCGTGGACCAGATCAATTGATCAAAGAAGAAAACAATGCAACTGATAGATGAATAAGATATGGGCATTAAACATTGAACAATTCAGAGAAGCCAGCAATAAGAATATGTCTAAGCAGCATCATGCAAATGAAGTTTCCTGCATCCTAAAGATACCAAATTTAGGATAATATTTATGGATAGATGAGAGTGCATACCAAGTTGCTTGAGGATGTCAGTAAATGTTGCCTGCAAAATAGAAAAAAAAAACAGCATAAATAAAAGAATGCCAGGATAATAATGAATAGCTGGAGGCACAAATAATACATGGAAAGATGAAATGAAAGACACTACAGAAAAAAGATTGAACTATAGAAATGATAGCATAAATGAAGATAACAAAATAATTCCTGGGGAAACTCATGAGAACACTAACAAATGGCTAAGAGAGCATACAGATCAAAAGACCATGCAAATCTAGGCCAGCCCGCCAGTGGCCAGAGCCCAAAGATCACAGAATGTCTGGATTAGCTAGATTGCATACTTATATTCTAAGTTTCTAACATCACACTATAAAGCAGAAAAATAAGCTGCATACCGTGTTAAAATCAACTTCCTTTAGAATTTCGCATATTGCATCCCTTAGCTCATCTTCACTCGGTTTCATTTCCTCCTCTTCAATTGCCTTTTTACCTTAAGAAACAAAGGCAATTTCTTGTCATGGTTAATCATAATAAATGAATTGTCAGAACCGTTCATCATCTTGATTTTCTTAAAATTTATGCAACAGAAACTACTAGATTTTAATTTCAATCAGAAAAATAATAGGGGGAAGAGTGAAATGCAGGATCTTTGTGATTCAGCACTTCTTTTGCAACTAAATTCAAGTGATGGTCACAAACAAAAATATCAAATAAGAATAAAGAACAAGAGAGGAATGTAAGAGACACAATCCTAGGCAACAACACCAAGGACGGACGATTACACCCTAAAATTGGCAATCACACCAAATTCTGTAGAGAAGCTTTCACTTGTTCTTTCTCCAAAAGAGCCTACAAGTTTAACAAAAAAGAAGCTTCCCAAGGTATAGAAACTGTCCTCACAACTTAACTTGCCCCACAAGCTAAACTTACAAAGGAAGTTAAATTAGATAGACTAAACCTGCCCCAAACAACTATAACCGAAAAAAAACAAAATGAGGAACAAAACTAAAATAAGACTTATTCCTAAAAATAACACTCAAACATGTAAAATCACAAAACTATCCCTGCTGTCTAGAAATGTAGTAGGCTGAACAAGCTCTGCCTTGCGGCAAATAAGCATAGGAATTTTTTTTTGGTATTTAAGCATAGGAACAGTTTGTTTCTTATCTGACATGCTTTAAGCTGATTCCCATCATGGGGGAAGCCTGGGGGCTTTTCTTTGATTTTCTTTCTTGATTTCAATAAAATTGCTTCCTCATCTGTTGTCAACAACCAAAGAAAAATACTAGAGAAAAAAAATTGAACATTACCACTTTTTTCACTGGTGCCCTTTTTCTTAGTAGCAGATTTCACAGGAGTTGATGATTTTTTCTTAGTGGTCTCTTCAATTTTCTTCTTTCTTGACACCTTTGGGTTTGTAATGCTTGTACTGTCAGCCTTGGAATGCCTGGATGAAGATTTGCTAGGAGTTCTTTTTGGTGATTGGATAGGACTAGCTTTTTTGGGGGTTGCTATTTTCTTGGTTTTAGTCTTCCCAGCAGATTCCTTTTTTGGTGTTGGCTTCTTTGAACCACGTCTGCGTTTCTTCGTCTCTTCTGCAGACTCATCTGCAGATTCATCTTCCCTTTCCTCTCTCTCAGAATGGTCAGATGCTTCATCCTCAGATCCACCAGGAACACCATTTTCTTCTTCTGATTCATCTTCTATTTCAGCTGCACTCTTCTTCCCCTTCTGTTTTTGAGTGTCTTCAGACCTTTGTTTCTGTTTAACACAGTAGTAAATCAAACATGTAATGAGCAGGGAAACTAAAGAAAACAGGCAATACTTGTGCTTTTTGGTTTGGCAAAGATAGGTGTTATGTAGGTGACTTTAAAAAATTAAACAATTTTTGTAATGCACATATATAACCATGCATACGTATAATATACTTAACGTCATATGTACACTAACCAAACTACAAACTTGATGTTTTTTGTTACATGACTACACCTGATTGTCATAAAACAGATCATTTCTTATAGCATCCCTCGTTCGAAGAAAGGTTTTAAAAACAAAAAAAAATGCAGTTATTTCAGTTCCTCGGTCCAAAACAAAATAAACAGAAACTTTGTTATCTCTGCCATAAAACACCAGTAAAATATATTATTGTCCAAAATAAGAAACTTCAAAAATTGTTAAAACATTTAAAAACCAAAAGGTGTTTGATTTTTTTTTTATCAATTCAAAAGGTGTTGATCGGAATGCTGGTTCTATATTTGCCCTTACTAAGATAATTACATTCATACTGCAGGGTCTACTCAATCACATGGGCAATGCCTTAATTATATTGTTTATAAGGATGAAGCAGAGGCACGGATACCATGAGAAACTTAATTTTCATGGTTGCAGTCTCAGCAACGCAGGTAATTCAGGTATTGGTTTTTCAATAACGAAAGCTTTGTCCTTGGGAAGGAATTTGAACTTCTTGTTCAAATGAATTCCAAGGTCTGCTAATGATCTTGCTGATACTCTAGCCAAATCAGGGGTGTCAAGAGACAGCTTAGTCTGGGCTTGTCCAGGTACTGAGCATGCAAAGTGCCAAAGTAGAAATTCATTTTAATAACTAAAGAGATGTGTGGTCATCTTTAAACTGTGCTGTACTGTCCCTGCTGACCCTTTCTTGCTCAAAAGTGCCTTTCTTGGTGTCATTTCCCTCACTTTTAATAAAATTATATTTTACAGTTGATCATCAAAAAAAGTAATAATAGCCGCTCAAAGTTTTAACCTAACCAATTCGACCTTGTAAGCTTTTGCAAATCAATTATTGCTGCTCAAAGTCTTATTTTTTAATAAATAGTTGCCAATAAAAGTGGCTTTATTTTGAAAATCGGTAATCAACTTTGGACCTAACTTTTTATCAATTGAACAAAAGCTGGGGAGAAGAGCATGGACTTCTTTTGAGTCCAAAATTAAGATGCCACTTGGAGAAGATTCATGGGTTGTTCAAGAAAGCTTATTAAAAGATCCATCTAGGAAACTAGTTGGGTCCTTATTGAGCCGGATAAGAGTAGACACACTAAGACGCATTTATTTCAGAACACAAATATTGGATCCAGAACTGACCCATCAGAACTGGTACCTTAAACAGACCAATGTAATAAATGGCTTTGGGTTTATTGTGTTTACCTGGCCCCTTGACAGCAACTACCTAGCAAAGCACAGAACAACAATATACATTTCCAATGACAAATACACTGCTCAACCATATACATTTTGCTGGTTCATCAAGAAAGAATACCTTTCGTGAGCTTCTTGTTGACGTGTCTCCAGACTTGGATGCACTTCTTTTCAGAACCCTCTTACGCTTTCTAGTCTTACCTGACTGATTCAACAAAAGACAAACAAACACAAACATCAGAATGAAAGCAATTCCCTCAAGACAAGCATCATTTCAGTAACAAGCTCCAGGCAAGGCAAACAAACCAACTCCTTTTCTGCAAGTAACACATCAGTAGTTGCCTGTGGAGCCGCCAAAAAGTCAATTAGCTTTGTCACAATATCTTCCTGCATGTATAAATCGAGGTTCCTTAGAGTGAAAACTTCTCTTGAATTGCCATGATGATTGTTTAGTTTATCCGTACAAATCATGTCATGAATCTAGATAATTTCGTGAAAAACAATATAGAATGGCGACACAAAGGTATCTGATGCTAACTATGATACCAGGATATGGGTGCATGCCTAGTGTAACAGTATCATCATACTTGCATTTTATTTAAATTTGGCAAGACATATGTAATGAGAAATGACATCTAAGTCCTGTTTGGTTCATGGGAATAGGGTCTGGAATCAGAACCAGAACGGGCATTCCCCCCTAGGTGTACGCCTCTGAAAAGGAATTGAGAATACATTGCAAGGTGGTATGTGCCTCAGGAGAATTCACCCCTAAAAGCTAGCTGTTAAAGGGAGGGAAGCCAAGCACATATATACCCCACAACAGCATCCCATACTATCGATATGGGATACCTCACATTAGCATCCCATACTACCAACGTGGGATACCTCACATTAGCATCCCATACTACCAACATGGGACAAATGGATCATAACACAATGCTAGGAATTTTATGTTTTTTATGCCTGTATCTTTGGCTAGTTGCAACAAAATTAAGTAAATAAATAATACTCCTGAAAGAAATAATTCTGCAGATAGAACGGTGGCAGATGATTTTCACAGACAAGATCTATATGTAGTTAAGAAAACAGACCTTCCTTGTTGTAGCCTTTGCAACATGTATGTCAAGGACATCACAGAATTCCAATAATTTTTCTTTCACACACTTGTCAAGTTTCTCTTTTATTTTCAGCTTTTGCTTTTCCTGCAATTACAACAGATTTTAAATTAAGGAAACAAAATAGATGCTTATATAATGCTACTAACCAAAGCCTTACAAATAAAATCAGCCATATATTTACACATATCACATGGACTCTCATAAATGGAAGAAGTATGATTCTGGATTCTGGCACCTGAGGGGAAACATCTTAATATGGTTTTCCTCCTCCCTGTGTATTTGACTGTGTATAGTGGATTCCAATTTTCCCATACAATGTTACTTGGTAACAAGAAAACATATTTAGATTTACTTACACAAAATCCTATTAGGTATATAATGATTGAATTTACAGGGTATGTCGCCATGAAAAGTTTTTTAATAGTAAACACTAATTTTGAACACATTCCAAAGTGTCATGTTTCATTCATATTGCAGAGTAAACCTCCATGACAATGGGTCAGAGTCCAATTACCATACCCATGTCCATGCAACAGTCTCTTTTGCCTTCTAATAAAATAAAAGTATCACACAAAGGGAAGTGAAAATCAATGGATCTCTTTGAATACATTACCTCATTTTCATGCCATATGAAACCAGAAAACTGGGATATATTACTCTTGACATGAGATGCCTGCAGCAGTAAAATGAACAGTCACAAAGAAACAGTTTTGATTACTAAAATGATGCCAACCATCGTTTCTGATCAGAAAAAAAGAAAAGGAAATTATAGTTTACACTTTACATATTTGTTGCATAATGAATTTCAACATATTTTCACTTTCCTGTTATTTTATATTGAGAAATAATAAAAGAATAGCCAATAATAATGAAAATCAACACAAAACGCATTATATCATCCATTTCATAAGGGAATGACATTTCTAGTGATAAATTGCAATAAACTCACTTCCATATGACAAAACAGCAAGGCACATGCAAGATGATGAATTTCCCTAAAAGCACGAATACAAGCAAACAAACAAGGCAGAAGGCCACCAGCAAATTGAATCAAAAACTCGTTAGTATTAATTTATTACATCAAGATATAAACAAAAAGCAAGATAACAAGTAAATGAATTCAAGAAGACAAGTGTTGGGCAGTCAAGAAACAATTTTGTCCAAGCTTCCAAAAATATGTTTTGGAAGAAATGAAAATATTGAGATGGATAGAAATGGGTGATAAAATGAGGGAATAGACTGAGATGGTTTGGTCATGTGCAGAGAAGAACATCTACAGCACCAGTAAGAAGTCAACTGTTGCAAGTTTAAGGGTCTAGAAGAGGAGTAAGCCAAATAGGACACGGGTTGTAGTTAGAAATGATCTGAGAATCCATGCTTTAAGAATTTACATGGCACTAAACAGAGTAGAATGGAAGAACAAAATTCAAGCCAACCCAATGTATTTGGGATAAAGCTTAGTTGAATTGATTATAAGGCAGCCACCTCCACCTTAACATTTTCCTTAAATAGGCAGGCACCTAATGTGTGCAAAAAAGGTAGAACTCAAGGCAACAAAAACATACAGCACCTCATTGCCTAGGTGCCCACATAAGCAATGCCTTGATAACTATGCTACAAATACTCCAACACAATAATAATATCATATTGTATATGGACAAGTTCTTCCTAAGGACTTTTTACCATGTCACAAAATACATTCCCAACAAAATGCTGGAGACATGTAGGTTCATCTTTATTTGCCTGAAGCTGTCAAGCATGCATTTAACGAGTGTTTCCCATACAGTATTACATTGTGAATTTTAAGTAGATAAAAAATATAATTGTTTATAACATGTAAGGATGTTCAAACACAAAAGAAAAATAAGAAAGGCACCGCCCCCCAAAAAACAAAACTCTAATTGCAGCTGTTGCTTTGCACTTGTGCATGCACACACAATGGTCACACGTTCACAAAATCTTTCTAAGCCAGCAGCAGATGAGTGTAACTCTGATGATCCATCAAATCTGAACAATGTAAAGAAGACAATTTCCTAATTAAGACACAGAAAAGCAACACATTTGCTTTCACCTGTCAGTGAGAGCAACCAGCTTACCTTTGCAGAAGCCACATCCAGATGGAAGAGCTAAAGGCACAAAGGCTGCTACATTCATGTAAAGAGAATTTTCGGGTTTCCACCAACTCCAGCCACCCCAGAATTGGTAAGGGAGCTTCCATCAAACCAGCAATATGAGATAGCAGTGGGGACCAAGGTGAAGAGTCAAGACAACAGCTTAACTATGATAATTTGCTGGTAGAAGGTGACTAAAAAGAACATATACACTGGTTTCAAAACAATAGCTTATGATTATGGCAAAACCATATTATAAGATAAGGCACCTAGCTGAGCAGCTAAAAATAATCTTCTCCTTGGTTCAACATTCAGTGAACAGGCTCTTTGACAAGTTAGCTAATCAAGGAGTACAATGGAACAGTATATTGGGGAAATGTCTCCAGAGTTTTTCCACAATTAATAAAAGTTTAAAAAGTTATCCATAAAAAAAAAATTAAAAAAAAAACTAAAAAAAAAAGTGATTGATCCTCACTCATCAACACAAAACAAACATGGGAAAAAAGACAGGGATCCTATAAGTGGGTATGATTATATTCATATGATAGACAATAGCCATGATGTAGGATGAAAAGGAGAAAAATCTAAATAAGGTGAATTTAGGGATCTGAATTATGAGAGAAAAATGTTCAGAATTGAAACAAGTAGAGAGATATGAAATATTTCACCTTAAGAGGGAGGAGGGAGAGAGAGAGAGGAAAACACTTTTACCCACAAATAACTTTAAAACAAACTACTTGTTCCATTAATTCAACTCTAAAATTTCAACTACAATAAGTCTATTCATAGACTGATCATAAGGGATCAGATCACCCCTTAAAGACTCCTACTTAGACTCAAAAACAACTTTTAAGTTTTAGCTGCTTCAAAATAAGAAAACCTTATACATAACCCAAGGGACAACCAAATACGGTTTCTAACTCATAAAATAACTCCAACAACATTTTGTTAATCCTTCCACAACTAAAAAAATAAAAAAAGCAACTCCAATATTGACCTAAATAATTAGAAAGATTCAAATCCCGTCAAAAACTGACATTTCAATAAAATGGCCACAACTTAACTGAAAAAAAAAGTCAAATTTACAAGATCTTGGTCTTATTGGATAGACAACTCAATCACCCATCTCATAAAATCAAAATCATGCAAAACACATGAAAAATAGGTTAAGAGAAAAATGTGGCACTATTCTTTTTAACCAACAGAACTTGGTTTTATTAACATGGCATATGCTTAAGGGAAAATTTGCACTCATAATTTAACAATGGATATGACATTAAACAGAACAGAATGGCAAAGCTGGATTCATGTAGTCTGTGATCAGACCAGGGAAAATAAGCAAAATAAATCTGAAAATAACCCAACTCTAATCCAGGTATCATTTGGATTAGTGTAGAAGAGGAGAAGAGAAGTTGGAAAACAGGGGCTGAAAGCTCATTGAGATCGAAGAGCACTATCAATCTCTAACTGCCGCCCCAATTTCTTTTATTATATTAATGTTGTAATTACATCATTACCCATGAGACAAAAGGCCCAATATCTAACACTAGAATTAACAGAGAAATAAAAGCAAAAAGACCAAACTAACCCTACAACCAGCTTTATCAGTTCTGAAAACTCTCTGATAAAACTGTGCAAATTAATTCCACTCTAAAATGATTAACCCCAGACATTAATAAACTAGAAAATAACTATTAAAACACTCAAATTTTACCAAAATCAGAAACAGCCAGGAATTCTGGAATTGTGAACTGGGAGAAAACTTATTTCTTTGTCCATGAACTCTTTCCCTGCTTACACGCCTGAATAAATCCATGTGAACAGATCATAGGCAACAATACAACTTAACCATCCCAAATCTCAAATAAGTTCATTGAAGGCAACATTTTCAAAGTACCTCCAATGTAAAAATGCAACATACATGAATTTGGCAGCCATTTGATTTATGACCACCTAATACACAGGTCAGAGAAGTCTTTATTTGTTCAAAATAAATTGGTAAAACCAACCAAATTCAATTTTCGGTCCTGCCAATTGTTAGGTCAGTGAGAATGCCATTGTTCCCCACATCATCTTTGCTTCTATTGCTGATCAAAAATATCTGCAGAAACCAACTACATGTGATTGGCTACACAGATCTTGATTCACTATTTCACTCTATTGAGGATAGAGGACCATATCCTCTCTCAAACTGTGAGTTGTCAGATCATTTATAAATAACTCAGACCAAGTCCTTTTCAGATTTACCAAAATCTTCCCCACACCATCAACTTCCCCTAGCTATGTTACACAAATAAGGAAAAGACATAGTCGGACAATGTTTCAGATGTAAAACTTACAGTACAAATTGAAGTATCCAACATGATATAAGCATCCTCGTACAGGTATCATAGACATCAGGTAAGTCATTCCTACTAGTTCACTAAGTGGCCTAGTTGGTAATATCTACAATTCTACATGGATGACCTAAAGAATCAAGTGAAGCAAATAACATACAAGATTCATAGGAGATGATAGAAAAGTTGCTAAGGTAGTAAATAAAAAAGATAATGATAATTACAGAAAAAGAGAAAATCTAGAATATAGATAAAATTACCTTTGCCCTCCTTCCAAAAAGAATCAAGTGAAGCAATTTGAAAGTTTCATCAGTTTTCCTTCTTGACAATTTGTATGCCACTGAAATGTGAATAAGAAGCATGTTAGAGAAAATCTTACATACATGAGTTTAAGTTTCCTCAGTTCCACACAGACCTCACAAGTACCCATGTCAACTGAGGTCAAAGGACTTATAGTTAAACATAAAGGGAAAAGAAAACCTGCTGCTAAGGAGTAAGTAAACAATAAAGAAACCATTAAACCTTGCATGGTAACAAAGATTAGCCAGCATACAAATATTACATTGATAAAAAAATTAAAATATAAAGTTGATAGAGAATACTGTATGTCATCTTGTTTACACTAGTCTTTCTTTCTATTGCAACCAAAAATAAGGACAGCAGAAATGTAAAAATCCCACAAATATATAAGGAAAAATATTCTAGATATAGGAATTCAGGCAAAATATTCCATAAGGGGTATCAGCATTACAATTGGGACTTCAATTCAGGAAGAAGAAGTTCTAGGTCCTAATGGAGATATACAACTGAACTTTTAACCTGCACACAGTTTGTAAGAAACATGTAATTTCATCAAGTGACCAGAACAGTAGGTACTACTAGATGACCTTTCACCCGAGTAATGATAATTTCAGAGTCACACCTCCAACAAAATCATCTCAAAGACCAATATATGCCTTCATATGAGACACTTGAACTAAAAGCAGCAACTTTGCCATAATGCAATCTCCTTTTTTTTTTTTTTGCTTCATGGGGCTACACAATGGGGAGTAGCCCATCCCCCTTCCCTTAACCCCCCCCCCCAACCCTGGATGAGCAATCTTGATCACTTCTCCAAAGTGCCCAAATTGCATCCTCACAATCCTGATCCACCTTTTTGTGTTAGGGGTGGAGGAATCTTGGAGCAATTCAGTCTGCAATAATCTTTGTAGGTGAAAGTAGATTGTTTTGTGAACCAAAAAGAGGTCATAAGTACATTGCTGGCCAATGCAAAGGGAAATTGAGACTATTCCTATTCCCTCCACATTGATAAGAGAAAAAGTGTAACTGAGCATCCAAAATCAAGACTAAGCTAATCACTTAACACAGCCATTTCCAAGGATTAAGAATAGAAATTTTTCAAAATAAGATTCAACATAGAGAACCAGTAGCCACAGTGCAGGAAGTACTCAAACTAGAAAATATAACAAGGACGAACAAATCTAACTGGGGCAGTCTCGGCACATCTAATCAGGAAACAAACACATAAAATTATCACCAGTCACTAGAAACTGAGTGCATTACCAAGGTATTTGGTGTATTAAATAGTCAGAAATCATAGGGAAAAAAAGACTTAGACAAATAAGTAGACATCTGTAGACTTGTTAATATATACCTGGAGAGTACGGAAATAAGATAAATCAACTAGAAGTTTAATACATGATGAGCTTTTAATAAAATATGCAATACTAAGACAAAGTAGTTGCAGTTTAGATGCATACCATTTGGAATATCCTTTAATGGAGTGCCACGGCCCTGCAATTTTAAAGGCCAAAGAAGAACTAAACAACAGTGACAAACGAATGCAGAAGCCAACAAGGAACAACAGGAATCAAAAGTAAAACAATGCCAAACAGAAACACCTTTTCAATGTGAAACTCCTTTGCTGCTTCTTTCTCAATAGATATCACCAACCTCTCAACAGATTTTCTCTCACGTACAGGTCGATCAAAAGAGGACAGCACAGGAGTGGTTGGATCCTTGGTATTTTCCTCAGTCACATCCTTTTTAGAAGCCTCCTGTTTCTCACCAATATTTCTCTCCCTCCCACGCTTCTTTGACCCATTGCCCTCCTTTTTCTCTTCTTCTTTTGTTTTCACTTCCTTGCTTTCTTTATCCTTCTCTTCAACCTTTTCTCCACTCTCCCCTTCCTTTGAATCATTTTCCTCTTCCACTTGCGGAGTTTCTGGTTCTTCTATTTCTCTCTCTTCTTTCAAGTCATTGTCTACATTCATTTTATCAGTCTCCTGTTTCTTGCCAACCTTCCATCCCCTCCCACGCCTCTTTGACCCTTTCCCCCACTTTGTCTCTTTAGATTTTGTTTTTTCCTCCCTACTCTCTTCAGATTTCTCTTCACCCTTTACTTCACTCTCCTCCTCTGTCCTTGAGCCAGTTTGTTCCTCCGTTTTCACAGTTTCTGATTCTTCCATTTTACCCTCCTCTTCTTTCAGTTTACAGTCTTCATCCATTTTCACAGCCTCTGTCTTCTCATCTTCTTTACTATGTCCTTCCATTTCTTTTACTCCATTATTGTCCTCTTCTTTCTTCAAGGTTGCATTTTCGCCTGTATCCTCAGGCGGACAAAATCCATTTGCTGGCGCATCCGCAACATCAGTCACCGTCTCTGCCTCCGCCATGGCTATCCTTAGCCTCCAAGAAATACTACGAGCAAAAAAGACGACGATACTAGAAGTCCTCTGTCCTCGCAAACCTTTAAAAGGAACTGTAAAATTTCAATTCCAAGTGTCTCCTAGAACCAACTATAAAAAGAGCATGTTTTTTAGCTAAACACCACAACGAGGGAGAGAGAGAGAGGGGGGGTGGAGAGGAAGAAGAAGAAACACTATAACTATGTAGAAACCAAGTAGGACCAGTAGCGAAAAAGTCGTAGGATACCAAAATGTCCTATAACGAATTTGTTGTCATAAAACTATGAAGCATCGGCGACTTTTCAGGCTGGAAGCCGAAATTTCGGATCAAAATTCTAAAATACCCTACCAAGTGCGTGAGAAACCTCACAGCACCAAAAGAAAGGAAAACAAACATCAAAGCATCCAGTAATGAGTTAGGATGAAAAATTAAGCAGAAAAGGATAAAAGAAATCTCGAAAAATTGGGCATGCCTACGCCTATGAAAGATCATACTGGCCCGAAGAGACCACTACATCAATAAAAAAGATTACTACGTAAACATAACAAAAAGGCAACAGAAAACAAGAAGTAAGTTCCATCAGGAATTTGTAACCCTAAGAAAATGAGAGAAATATTCGCCATTAAAGCACCCCCAAGACAACAACAGAAAGTATAATCTAGGGAAACAGAAACAGAAGCAATTCAACAGTGTAACTAAAAGCCTCACTTACAGAGTGATTGAAAGCTCCGAAACGATTGCAGTCGAGCGCGCTTCTGTGGAAAATCTTTGTTCTTCTTATTCTTCTTGATTGTTGTACTCTCGCTCTCTCCGGAGAAGAACCCAAAAAAAAAGAGGGCTTTTTTTCGTTTCCCTCCTCGATGATCAAAGGGGGGTTCTTCTCAGGCTCAGCTTTTGTAGTTCGGACTTCAAATCCGGATTTTAAAGGCAATTAAATGCCATGTCGGATCGGTCAGAAATGAGGAGGGAGCGTTCAGGACTGGAGGTAATGGGACCGGCTTGCGTGGCTCGATTCTTTATCGGACGGTTCGAGTATCTTTTTCTGTTGGCACCTGATTCCGCCAAGTGGGAGGGTTTAAATTTTTGATTTAGGAGGCAAATTGGACGGCTGAATTTTGATCTCTCTTCCAACCACGATTATCGCCACCGTTTAACTCCTCGGGGATTTAATCGGCAATTACCACCGCGGTCAACGTTCGAAGTTAGCACATCTCGAATCTCAGTCAGCAGCTAGTCTATAAAATAATTCGATGTTGCATTTCGGACCGAAAAGGAAAAAACTGGAACCGAAATACCCATGCTTCAGGTTTCGGATTTCGGGATTCCGATTGGAACAAATGAGCCGCAATGAATCTGGAAGCCTCGCGGAATTTGAAGCAAGTACATGCGTTTCCAAGATTCTACTGACTTTCGGAATCGGTAAAAGGAATTGTCTTCCTTTCCGTTGAGCTCGGAGGGAAAAAGGCAGCGTAACGCTGTGAATTGAGGTGGAAAATCGGAAACGAATGGAAAACTAAAAATAATGATTATTATTTATTGGTCAAAGTTCTTTCTGTATCATAGATGTTTCCCGTAAAAATTTGCATTAACGCTCGGTTTAAAAAGAACATAAATATAAAGATAAACAAAATAATAAAGAACACAAGGTTTTGCACTATAAAAATCTCCATCCAAACTGAACCCAATCAACAAATGACTGAAGAAAAAAAGAAACCTAAATTATATCAATTCTAGAGTGGGCTCAGATCTACTACTCAATAGCTATTCCCACAGTTCCACCCATAAGACATTACAGCTGCATTCATGGGAGATAGGGGTGAGCAAAAATACTGAAAAATCTAATCGATCAATGTTTAAAAAAAATGAAGATATCGGTTTAGTTTCGATTAGTCAACATAAAAAACCGCTAGTTAATCGAATCAACCGATATACATATATTTCTATATATTTATATTATATATATTTAATATTTTTATACATTATAAATTAATAAATATATATAATATTTATAATTTATTATTATATATTTTTATAATATATATTGTAAAAATAAAAAAAAACCAATTAGGTTTTAATTACTGATTTTCCAAACCCGGTAATACTGATTCAGTGCCTAAGATTCAGTAACCGAACTGTGAACACCCCCTAATGGGAGATGTTCTCAATAATGCTCTTTGAGTAGGGATGTGAGGATACCAAACAACTGGTCTTTTCCAACCTTTTTGGCATTGGGAAAAGAAGTATCGTTTTCATTTTATTTGGGCTATGTAATGCGAGGCGTGGCCCACAAAGGAGCGAGGAGCTTAGTGCTAGCCGGTCATCGGCAGATTAATTGAGTGATGCCGGTAACCATCTCAGCTACAAGTTTATCGCCAGCCTTTGTCATCCTTATGAATCATAAGATATAATGTCAACAATTGATCGAATTGGGCCCAGCAAAGCGTGGAATGAACAATAGATTGTTTCGGAACATTATGCCTTAATTGTAGACCGAACTAAGGTTCAAAGCATCGACTGACCAGACCAGACATTTAGGCATGGGGCCTTGTTGATATGAGATGCAAATACCTTATTGATATGTCTCATTGTTTGCAGTGTTTTGAATGCAAATTTTAATTTATTTTTATATTAAGGGTCTATTTGGTTCATAATCGAAATCTGAATGATCTATTTTCATAGTTTATTTGATTCAGACAGGAATAGGAATGGAAATTAGAAACAACAGGAATGAGATTTCATGTCATTCCAGCAGAAATAAGAATAGGATTCCAATTCTGCCTAACCAAACAATTAGAATTGAAATTATCCATACCGATCCCGATTCCAGATTCCTATCCCTGTAAACCAAACGTAGCCCAACTTACGATACATTTGAAAATTAAAATAAAACAATAGCCGAAGCAAATTAAAATGAAAAGACAAAACAAAGGTGGATTAAAATTTGCATTATCGTCATTTGCACTCTTATACATTTGTACTAGTGCAATTGAATACGCTGCAAGCAAATAGAACCGTAATACTTCTGTGCAGTTAGATATTCTTTGGGCTTATGTAGGGGTGCAACCTGCGAAGGCGGGTTAAACCTGTTATCAAAATTTGAATAGATATGGCACAATGGCCCGAGCCCAAATCAGTATAAAATGTTAATTGGGGGCAACCCAAATTGCATTCCCTAGACTTATTTTGGCAGTGCTTCACATCTATAGTAGTCACACGTGCCACCTAATAAAGCCAAGTTCATTGCCCATTACTTAGGTTGATCCCAACTATCCAGGGGTGGACTTGATATAATCTTAATCTCATAAATTATAAGACCAACTGATCAGGTTTATCAAGTTTATGGGTATTGGCCCTTGACGTTGGAAGCCTAAACCAGGTTTATCAGTATGTCATGTTTTACTCATTGTTGTTCTGATTTTCGTGTTTGAGCTAGGGGTGATCATGGGCTGGGCTGGGTCAGATTTTTCACTTATGATAAGGGTTATAGTTTAGGCCTGGGTCTGGCCTGGCTCGGGGTTCCGGGCCTGAAACATAAGTCTTAGCCCAGGTCTATACGGGCCCGGGCCGGGTCAGGCCTGATTATGGGCCAATGTCTTTCGTATATAAAAATTATATATCTATAATATTATATATTAAATGGCACAACATGCATATAAACTTATTTTATACATTATATAATATAAAATATTATATATCTATATATTAAATGACATAACATGCATATAAACTTATTTTATACATTATATAATATAAAATATTACATATAATATAAATTATGTCATGTTATAATATTTATATGTAAAATATATAACACAAAATGTGTAAGTTTAAATATATGCGGCCGGGCCGGGCTTGCGGGTCTGATGTGGGCTCGGGCCTGGACCGGGCCTGAACACAAAACCCAGGCCGGGCTTGTGCGGGCCAAGCAGGGCCAAGCTGAAATGATCACCCCTAGTTTGGGTTGCTTCTTTCATGGAGTCTTTTGTTGAGTGTTTTAAGAGATGGTATTCTTTTCGACTTATATTTATACTAGTGGGAACTCGTGTGATGTATGGGCTTTATTAAGCAAAAGCTAAACAATATAAACACATAAAAGTACATAATTGTTTTATATTTTAATTTTTTTAATGATCAATCTGATCGAACTTTGACCCGAGTTGCATGGTTTTCTAGTATTTCTGGTCAGATTTGGTTTGGCAATTTTCCAACCTGACCTAGTTAGGTCAGTTTCGGTTTGGCGATTTGTAAACCAACCAAAACTGAATCGACCCGACCATAGATATATATTAATGTTTTATATTTTAAATATAATTTTTTAATATGGGAAAGTGGGAAAATTCCTATGTTTCTTAGTCTAAAATATTTTATATCATAAATTTATTTTTTTAATTTATTTATTAATAATATCACTATAATTTATTAAATTTTAAATTTAATTTTTAAGTTAAAATCTTTTAAACAAACAAACCAAACCGAAAATAGACCCAAACTGATACAACCCGAGTTGGTGGATTTTCACTAATGGTTAGTTGGTTTCGAGAGACAAACTCCCGACTTGACCAAGTCAATTTTAAATTTATTAATGTTTTTGAAAGTTATTTCCTATAATTATTAATTGATATACCTAAAATTAGTTATTTACAATATTATTTAGTTATTTAAATTGTTAAAATATTAATTATTTATTGAATTTAATAATCCATAAAATTATAATTAATACTATTATTACATAATTTGTTATTAATTTTGTAAAATTTTAAATTATTATTAATATGAACATTATGAAATCTATTATAATTATTTTACTTATAAGATTTTTTTAATTTATTACATAATTTTGTTATTTTAACTATTTAAAATTTAGTCATGTTAAATATTTCGTTATTCAAATATTTAAATAATATGTAAACTATTTAAAAATTTTCATTAATTGAATTTAATTCATTTTAAAATTATTACATAATATAAAATATTTTCTTATATAATTATTTATCTATTTTTAATGTTTTTTATTTAAGATATTTAGTTATTGAAATATTTAAATATAATTTTAATTTTATATTTTTATAATTTGAATAACATTTAAATTGAATCATTTGTAAAATTATAATTTATATTGTTGCTACATAATTTCATGATGAATTTTGTAAAAATATAGAATTATTAATAATATGAATATTATTAGATCTATTATAATTGATTTTTGTGTTTTGAATAAATATTTTAAAGTTAGTATATAATTTTGTTATAATATTTAAATAATCATGACATTTTTTTTAGTTGAAACTTTCTTTAGATAGGTGTAGATAAAAAGTGGGGGAGAGGAGATAAATAGGAATTACAAATAGTTTAGGAGAGAACCCCTCTACTAATTTAGAGTTAATTTAAGAGATAAATAGGAGTTAGGGATAATGTAAGAGATACATAGGAATTTGTGACAATTTAGGAGAAGGTGGGGGAAAGTGGTGCCACTTGGCTAAACATTAGAAAAGCAAATCCCTCTTTCTTTATGGTTGTTAGAAATAGTTAACCCTATGGTATTTTCTTATTGGTTTAATGGGTAATTATGTGGAATTATAAATAAAAAAATTCAAAAAATAGGAAATTAGGAAGGGGGTTTGGAGCAAGGAGAGGCATAGTGATGTGGACTGTCTTGCTATATATATAGTTTTGTACCGTTCACACAGACCTCACAAGTTTTCTATCCTGATCAATGTTTTTTAAACCGAATTGGAGGTGGAACCATCTTTGCCTCCAGTTTGTGAGTCATTGTTTTGATTGTTCAGTTCGCATTGGTTAGGACCAAGCCACATCATCACTCTATATAAAAGTATAGACATATATGTGTGTGTGTGAACACATTTTATCAATAAATAATGTATAATTATACA